CCGGGTTCCTGCGACCCGGAGGCCAGCGGCGACCAGCAAAGCCTCACAAACAACTCCGGAGTTTGGCACTTCCTCCCAGTGTGAGTGATGTGCCTAAAATGGCTGACATCACAGCCAGCCCAAAGCCCTGCTGCTTCCTACTTTCGCTTGGAAGCTGAACAGCACTTGGACTAAGTCCGCCCACTGTAAGCCTCGTCATTTTAAAAGCATTTTCTTCTTTACCTCCTTTCCCCACGGCCCTTCGCTGTTGGCAGGTGAACTCCAGGATGGGGTCGGGAGAGGGAGCGAGGGGGGCGGGCGCGGGGGGGGACGGCCAGGTGAAGGTGCGCAGGGCAGCTTCTGGCTGCAGGTTTTATAACTAAAATATTGCAGCTAAAGATCAGTAATTACTATGTAGATGTGAGTGTAAAACCGACAGTTGGCTTTTATAGGACCCTTTAGGCTAAGTGAAACTAAATGTAGCAAACTTGTCCTACGTCCCTTATAAAATGTTCCTTTAATTTTACAAAACCCCTCTTTTAGTTCTAAGTAAAACCAGGAGTGAATCATAATTGTGCTCATCTTCTTTAGCATTTTTCAAGACTTACTATCACTAGGTTAAACTAAGTTTTAACTTCTAAAAAAACTCAGTTTGTGTGCTGGCATGCGTCATACGCATTATTTTTTATATACCCTACCGAAAATTGTTACTGAAAAATAGGCCACTAATATACTATAAAAATGTTTGAGAATTTAATGTTAATCCGGATGTAGGAATGTTAGCCTGTACTTATTTTTGGAAATGTTCTAGTTAAAAACACAAAGGTCAGGGTTGATTTTAAATGTCTGCCTTGCCTTGGAATAGGAACAGTGAACTTATTCCCGAAGGATTAAGTTTGGATATTGTATTGTTTTTCTGAATCCGTTGCAAACAGGCTTGGTCTTACAAGAAAATGTTTGGAATGCACAGACCATGATGCCAGTAGCAAATTATCTTAGCTCTATATTTAAGTAACATTCAGTGTACCTGAAATAGATTGATAATCAAATGCCCAGTCACAGCAGTCTCAAATACATATATATATATATAGATAGGTTTTAATTCTATTATATGTCTTTTTAAATGGTATAAACAAGTATGATTCCTCCCATTAAAAGGGGGGGGAGGGGAGCATCAGATGATGTCACTTCACACAGTTTTGCTCTGTTCCCCGAAGTGAAGAAGATTTGAAGCTGCACAGAAATCAGAACTAATTTGCTGGGCAGCTTTAAATCCAACTTTTGACATTTGCTGCATTTCTGAAATGATGACCCTGTTTTTAGATCCTCAGGATTTCTAACTATTTCACCATATTCACATTTTTTTGGTTATAGCAGCTATAAAAAAGTAACCATTCATAGCTCTGTGCTTTGTTTTCCATTTCTATTTCCTCAGATCCCCATATCCAAAGAAAAAATACTGGAACTAAGCTGTGAGGGCTAGAGTCTTCCTTTGTGACCACACAGCAGTTATGGATGAATGGACAGATAAAAATGACTAATTCTTTTTCTGGCTATAAGCTCAAAGATTTCTTCAGCAAGTGATAAAATACTGCTGTACATGAAAAATAGAATCCTTTCAATCAGCTCGTCACTTAATGATAAATGGAAAGCGTATTTTATAACACACATTTGTGAAAGACCTCTTCATCTTAGAGCTTGGGCAGTGATTACATAATGTTCTCTGGCTCCTTGGGGTGACTATACAGTAACCACCTAGTTTGACTGCCTGGATTCTGCACAGAGTCACCCTTCTGGGGGCTTTCCTTTTGTTGAGAGGATCAAGTAAAGCTAGTTATGGACCAGAACTCCTGAACACGAATTGGTAATACCTTTAACCCTCCTAGAACACAGTATCCTAAAAAACAGCGTTTCTCAAAATGTACTCTTTTTTTTTTATTAAATATTTTTATTGATTTCAGAGGAAGGGGGAGGGAGAGAGAGAGAGAGAAACATCCATGAGTAGAGAGAATTCATGGATCAGCTGCCTCCTGCACGTCTCCTACTGGGGATCGAGCCCGCAACCCGGGCATGTGCCCTTGACCGGAATCGAACCCGGGACCCTTCGATCTCCAGGCCGATGCTCTATCCACTGAGCAACACCGGCTGAGGCTCAAAATGTACTCTTAAGAGGCACTTGCTCTCATATCATCGGGACTCTGATTTGAAAATACGGATTCTACTACCTTATGCTTCAAGAATTCCATCACTCTGGTCAGCTGGCTTCTGTAATACGCATTCCAGTACTTTTACACTGCTCTTATCTTTTGCTGTTTCTTTAGCTCTTTTCTCACTTTAGGTTGAGAACCCACTGGAAGCAGTTTTATTGCCCCATTTTTCAATCTTGTCTTTTCAGTAACTGTTAATTCCAATAGCCATATCTGTTGATTTTCTTTATCTCAACAAGCTGTGCTATTTTTTATTCTTTTCCTACATTTCCCCTTAACTATTTTCACCTTCCTCCACCTGTCCCAATTAGCACAAAACTCTTAGATGTGTAAAAACAGCTAAAAGTACTACCTATGTTTTGTATACCAGGTGAATTTGAAATTAATGCATGTTTTATGTTACAGGCAAAAATTATGTTTGTGTCTGTAACTTTGAACTTTGCAAAATCGTTTGTTATAGATGTGCAAATGTCAAAGAAGATACTTGATGTACTGAGTCAGATATCTCAGTTAAGTCGTTACTTAACTGTTTGGACTTGGGTTTAAGATTTTAGTAAGATAACATGGTAGGACCAAATGGTTTGTAAGGACTCTTCCAGTTTTAAAATTCTATGCAGAGGCTAGGACTATATAATTATATTTGGCAGAAATTAAATTGTTTTCATTGTGGAAAATAACTACCTCCTCACCCTAACCAGACTGTTATCCTTCCTGTATTTTGCATGTTATGTTCCTTCCTCATATTAAGTAGCAATAGGTCAAAGAGAAAGGAGATGAATAGAGAGAGGTATTATGTAATAAATCAAATATTCATTTTGGGTTATGTCAGTGTAGAACGGGTGGGGGACATTTTTTCTGCCAAGGGCAATTTGGATATTTATAAAATCATTGATGGTCCATACAAAATTATCAGCTTAAAAACTAGCCTGCTATATTTGGGCAAACATTTAATTAGCTCGCCCCTAGTGCCTTGGCAAGGCCAGACCAAATGATTTCACAGGCCTTATATGTCTCAATGGGCCCGGACATCCCCACTCCGGCTGTGAACAATAGTTGTCAACAACTCATTTTGTTGTAATGCATAATTATGAAACACCTTTCTCAGTGTCCAACCTGGTAAAGGCTAAGGTTTGCTTCAAAGATATTCCATACGGCATGCATTTTGCTGATAAATCATATTACCTCTTCTCGTACATTGGAGTTGTAGACATTCTTAAAAGGGAGATTTTTTTTTTAATCCTCACCAGAGGATATTTTTCCATTGATTTTTTAGGGAGAATGGAAGAAAGAGAAATAAAGATCGATGTGAGAAACACATCAATTGGTTGCCTCCTGCACAAGCCCCAAACAGGGCTCAGGCTGGGGAGGAGCCTGTAATCTGGGTATGTGCCCTTGACCAGAATTGAACCCAGGACCTTTGGTCCAGAGGCCTATGCTTTATCCACTGGGCCAAACTGCCTAGGGCAAATGGGAGATGTTTATCAAATTAAAGTGTTTGTGAGGGCGAGAAGATGGGGCAGGATGGAAGCTTGAGAAAAAGTGAAATACTAACCCAATAAGGTCTAAGTTACCCATCAGAAAATGGCTATTTGGGCCCTTATTCTTGACACCGGCATTTCCTATTTGCATTAAACCGGGCTAGAGGGTTTTATAATTTAGCTTTTTTGGTGGTGGTCTCTGTTTTTCTGATTTTTTTTTTGGTGGTTGGGGCCAGAGGAAAGAAGGAACAAAATATGTGATGACGTTTACTGAAATGTGTTGATCTTCACAGAGGGGATTGGGAGCTTGGTTCTCCTTGACAAGTGCATATCATTACCTAGTGTTTGTAAACATCAGTCTGTAAAAGCTTTGCAGGCATTACATTTGGTTCTCCATGAGGGTATTGATATGTGAAGTGAAGGTTTAGTACTGGGAGATAAATTATTTGCTCCGTACATGCCAAGACACTTGGCAAGACCTCCTGTGTACACATGCCCCATCGGATACTGCTGCTGCAGAGCGTGGACCACGTTGCATATTATACAGTTGGAGGACAAGTTATCTGCTTGGGGTATTCCCAATGTCATCTTAAACATATTTTCTCCTGACTAGACAAGCAGGTATACTATTCTTGGCAAAATCATACACTTTTAAGACATTGTGGAATTCAACTCTCATGTAAGAAAGAGGTTTAAGTGTAGAAGTATTTTTGAACAGAAATATCTCTTGGAACACACAGTTAATAAGCCTTTTTAAGTTGATCTAGAATTTAACTTAAGAGGTTTTATTTATGTATTGCTGAAGTTTGACTTGCTTTTAATGTACATTGAAAATGTTATAAGTAGTAATTGTGGGACATTTTCTTTTGGTGCTATCAAATCGTAACTTAAATAACTGAGGTGTCTATTTGAAAGGCATGCTGTTTTTTCAACAGGAAATATTTTCTGAATTCACATTATAACTAATGGTACTTGGACTGCTTTGTCTATCTTTGTTATCAGTAGAGGATGATCCAGGAAAAATTTCTCCTCCGATACATTGATGAATTTATTCTCCTAAACTTCTTGGCACTTTTTATTAGTGCTCAGACTGAAGAAGTTAAGGACTTTGCCCTCGAAGATATTCTTCAGGCCACAACTGCTGTCTGTTAAATAAAGGATTTGACAATTTTGAATTTCTGAATGAGGTTGTTGTTTATATGTTTTAGAAAATAGTAATATTGCAGCTATATTTTCAAGAAGCTTATATTATGTGTGAAGAATTATTTTCTTGGCTCTGTTTTGTTCTTTGTACAAAGCTTAATAATGAGAATCACAGGGTAGACTGCTGAAAGTTGAAAATTGGAAATTATATTAGAGATATGACCCTAAGAAAAATCATTGAAAAAATGTAATTGTGATTATCCTCTTTAATCAGTATTTATGATACATATTCTTAACTGCTTTTAGGAAAACTACAATAAAATTGTACTTTCTAACAATTGCATGAATAAAATTATTTTAAACAATTGAAGACTTTTT